CTGGCAATTTTGTATATATGTGTGAATTCTTATTATACTCCATTTCCGTTCCTCCCTCCTCCCCACACTTTTCCCTGGCTTCCTTCCTTTGGACTAAATCTGATCATTTTGGTCTTTGTTCAATCAGCTCCTTTGTTCTCCAGTAAACTCTCTTAGTTGGCCCATCTATTTCTTTAAGTTAGGGGCTAATTCCTGATCTTAATACCAGCTAGGCTTTACTAGAGCTGAATAGAAGTGGAGGAATCTGCCCTTTAAAATACAACCCTTCTGTTTATCTTGCCCGACATAGTATTTGCCTTTTCTGCAGCAGTGAGATCTGTATTTTCCGGAACTTCTGTCTAGCTTATTCTGTAAGTGCTTATGTAATTAATTATTCTTAATTAATTGTAGTACATTGTCTGTATCATTATTTGATTTCATCCTATTTATTTCAGACCATTACTCCAACTGATGAAGAGCTTAAAAGCTCCTTTCCTCAGGAGCACTTGCAATGCATTTTCTTCCCAAAGTCAATTCTTTATTCTGCTTGATATTATCTCCAATTTGAAGTAGGATTTTTTTTTAAAGCTATTACCTAAGTCTCAGTTGAAAATATTGGATAGGGTATCGTCTAGGACACATTCCTGGTTGTAGACTTTGGAGTTGGATTTGTGAACCACTGATTGGACTTTAAGCTTCTCAGTAAATTACATTCTCCACTTTATAGCACTTTTTTCCTAAACTATGTTTTCCTTGCTTCGTTATGAGAGAGACTATGACCAAAATCATACTGAAAGTTAAAACGTCTGGTATTTCTCTTTGTCCAGAGCATCATCTGCTTGTCAAAGAAATGGATAAAAATGGATCTAGCAGCTTTAATGAGGACTGTGCTGACAAACAGATTGGCCATTTGTTACTGCTACATCTGGAAAACAGATATTCTACATAAATTTTCATATTCTACATAAATTGTTGAGATTTCCACTTACTCATATAGCTGGTTATGTTATTGATTTTGAGCGCTACCAGCCAAACTGTCTGGTTACCCCTTGTTTTTGGAATCCACATGGCTCTCTGATTGCCAGTATTTTTCCTTCAGTCAAGATTTGCACTTTCTTCTCAGACCCCTTTCTTCTCAGGACCAGTTATTCTTTTCAGGAACCCTCCCAAGTCACCTGTTTTCCCAGTCTAAAGAGTCATCATTCCCCCAGAACATCCAGCCAGCAATTATCTGCGGCCTCTTATTTAATTTCACAATTTTGCCTACAGCACCCATCAGCCCGTGTCTCAATCACCGCATTGTCTGAGCTGCATTGTCTGAGCATCTTTGTCTTCAGTGTGCATGAAAGTATTTTTTTTTTTCTTGAGCGTGCATTAGAGTAGTTTTTTCCCAAAAATACCAATATAATTGAAATTTAATATGCTTTGGGGAAGCATGAAATATGCTTTAGGGAAAAGGAGGTATCCTGAGCATGACTTCCGATTTTCATTGTTTGTTTACACTAAAAGTGAGTGTTTATGTTTAGAAACTTAATTATGTTGGAGTGGTTAGCTGGCAGATTTTAGGCTAGATCTGATATAATTAGGAAAAATAACTACCATATGTTCTCTGACTAATTTATTCACAAATATTTGGGATAAATGAATTGATATGAGAAGGATTAATTGAAAAACAAAACAAAAAGAATTGTATTTAATGAAATAAACTGGGAAAATATTCCACTTTATTGTTCAGATGAAGTGAAAGACAAGTTTTCAGATGCTGAGGCATTCACATGGAAAATTTGGTTAGAACACAGTACAATACTTTGTCATAAATTGAATTAATTTTTTAAAATGTGATTAATTATTAATATTCTAGTTATTTTCTCATTGGCTTTTTTTGGTATATTCTTTTCCACTGCTGCAGGGTGTTTTTTGTAACAGCCAAAGAAATAATCTCCAGGCACCCTGCTTGTAAGTGTTTTGTGGGAATAATGTTATGGCTGTAGTGCTTAGCTGTAATGCATACAACATCTTTATTCTCACATCAGTGGAAATTAAAAACAGAAGTCTTTGAACTATGACTGCTGCTGAGAAGTTTGCCAAAGCAGCAGGTCATAAGTTCGATCTTCCATAAATGGTATTTTTTTAATAGCCCATTGAGTCATTTTCTGAGGCTTTTTATTGAGTGCTCATGCCAAGAAGAGGTATCTGTGCCTACAGAGTATTTTTTTTTCTTTCTTTTTTTTTGAATGATCACTTTCTTATCCTGTGGATAAATGTCATATGATAATAATGCTTGTATGGAATTATCTTGTAAATAATTCTTGCGGGGTTTGGGTTGCTAATCTAAGACTCGATTCCTCCATAAGATTCTTTTACTTCTGAAGTCAGCAAAAGATGATCCGGACACTGTGACACATCCTGGTAAAATTTTTCTGTTTTTGTGGTGAAAAAATACGCCCATTCTTAATCCTTTCTGAAAAGATATTTTTGGGAAAATTTCGTTCAAAAATATGCTTTCCAAACAAGGATTTTAATGTGTATCAGAATCTCACTTTTGGATATTTGCTAACAATATTTGAAAAATTTTTAAGAGCTTCAGTGTTCTATGACTTACTAAGTCACAGTTAGATAAATTTTTGTTGTGTGTTAACTAGTTTATATTAGGCAAGCAAATGCTTAAAAAGTAGTCTTTCTTGCATTCATTTTTATTTGAAATTTTAATTTGCATTAATATTATGTCATCTGAGTGTATTTACCATTTAATGATTTGACCCTTGGCTAGTTAATTTCTTACATTTGTATATAATTGTATTAAGCCTGAGACTTTTCTGTTTGGTATAAATAGGGAGTTGTAACCGAACATCTCTGTAGATGTAGAACAGCTACTTGCTTATTTGATTTAATCATACTTCTTGAGAGACATAATACTCTGCTCTGATTGAAGTTATTGAGTTGATACTAATAATTTATGATCTGACAATAACAACATGATCTCTAGCTAATTTTTCCTTGTCACTACTGACAGTTTTACAACTTGGTATCAAATGATGCAGGCCAGGGGATAAAGACAACTTTATATGATTAAATTCATATAAAATATGTGCTAGTAAAAGGCAACCATGCTAAAGATTTGTAGTATCTTCACGTACATGGAGTGGTTACCTGTGTCTCAAAGACCGGGATTTCTTTTCCAGTTTGAATGTTTTTGGGTTTGGGGCCTGTCTTTTGCACAGTAGCTTGAACGATTACATCAATCTGGCTCACATCTAGGTTCTGTTATTACAATTGAATGCACTTAGGAGTAAATATGTTTAGCCTAAGAAATTTTGTGGCTTTCACAATATAGAACCCTGCTTGCTTTCTGTGTTGACAATATTGTTGACAGTGTTGCTGTCCAAAAGGTATCAAACGTACCAAGATACTCTCTCAACTTTAAAACCATTGGTAACCCTGAATTGAGTGAATACCTCAGTGGCATTACGTTATTCACAAGAGCAAAAGTTTCAGCTTTCTTCATAATTAACTTAATACTGTATTCCAGATGTATGGAGGAATAAAATAACTTATTTCTCTTTTCTTTTACTTCCACTTGGTTAGTGTATGGTCCTTCTCTCTATAAAAGAGCAGTTCTTTAGAGCTCGTGCTGTTTGTGACCCTGCTTTCAGGGGGTTTGTTCTCCTTATAGCCTAAGACTCTTAGTAAGTGCATAGTCTGACAGAAGATTTTTTGCTTGTGCTATATAAAATTATTTCTATCTGGAACATCCTCAACATGATTTCATTATTATCATAACAGTTTGTTTTTTCAAATTTTTATCTATTACTGTTAGTATTTGTGAAATGAACGCACACTTAAAAATTTTGTTGTACCATAGCATTGAGATAACTTATAACCGGTGAGATTTTGGATCATGTGTTTTTCAGCCAAGGATACTTCAAACTTTACCCTGTATGAAAAGCATAAGACCAGCCTATCTGAAAATTTTGCCAATGGCTGAACTCCAAAGTGCTCTCAAAGTTAGGGAGCAGTGTACTTTTGGAATCAAAATTAGATGAAACTGCAGATACCTTCACAGAGAAGGTCTGACTCAGTATTTCAATAATTGTGTCCACACGGACACAATAATAATCCAAAAATAAAATAAGATCAAAATAAGATGACCCAAAATAAAAAAGGACAACTCAGGAGACAAAGAATCACATTCATCCTGCTCTTTATTTTTTTTCTTTCTTTTTTTTTTTTTTTTTACCTCAGGTGAAATACCACCAATGAGATGGATAATAAATTTTGACCGAGATCTTCTAGATGGTCTAGTACTGGCAGCACAGCTGGCAGCTTACTGCCCATATTTGGTAAGGGTTTTTTGAAATATTCCATGTTTTATACATAAGGCAATACTAATGTAAGTGGTTGGCCTTTTTAACTGTTGGCTTTTATGGTTTTTAAAAAGAAACAAAAAACATTTTAGTAGTCTGGAGTGATTTTTTTAGTGATTATTTTTCCTTTGGCTATATTCTTAATAACAAATTTTTGTTCAAAATTTATCTTACAGATTGCTGAAGGGGGCAAAACCAAATGTAATAGTTTTATTCAGTGTAATATAAGAGTTATTCTTAATCTGTGTCTTCCCCAGATTGCTACTCACTTTGTAAGGATGTATACTACTCCAGAAACTCCTGAACAGTGTCTGCACAATTGTTTGATATTTGTGGATGCTATGCATGCTGTCAGTCTGGCTATAGACATAAAGGTAAAAGATTTTATACCATCTGTATTTAAATAATTTGATTATCTTTTAAACTTTTATGATATTAATACTTTATGCACAATTAAGATTTCAGTTAAACAGATTTTTTTCATAATTACTTATATATAATGACAGCTGAAATGCATCATATAAAGCTACTTAATTTCAAATAATTCCTGTAGTTTCTTGATTTGTAGAATACACCAACTGGTTGAACATAAAATTAATTCCATTCAAATTTTAGCATCATAAGCATAAAATGAGTGGAATGTTACTAATATTCTGAGGCAATTTAGTGGTGTCATCCACTTAGGTATAAAAAGAGTGTTAATAATTATAAAAATGGATCTAGTGGATCTAATCATGTAAATTTGTCTCTGCTTGGTGCACAGAAGATGCTTTGATGCTACAAGTCAGTAGCTTTGGACTGCTGGAGAGGGTAATACTGTGGGTCTTCAGCCTCTGGAGTCACTTATTGGGGGAAATATGATGTTGATATTGATTTTTCATCATTGTCCAACTGGTGTTCCTCAACAGAAAAGTATAGTGTGAGAAAACTCTGAGCTGGCTTTTGTGGTATCAAATAATTATCCATTTTTTGAGCACTAAATATAAATTTTGAGCACTGTTTTTTTAATATGAATTCCAACAAATGTGCCTATCTCTGTCTCTTGCTGCATTTTAGCTGTGGTTATCTTGTATGTAGGTGGAAGTACTGCTGTCTTCTCCACATAGGAAAACAGGATGGGTCTGCAGGCATCTATCCTTGGCCAGATGCTTAATTATTAGGTGTAGCTGTCCCTTCTTTCAGAAGGGCACTTGAGATGCTCACCTTCCCTTTTAGATAGGGAAAACCTTCCTGTATGCAGAAACTACCAAACTTGTACCTGAAAAACCCCCTTTCCATTCTCCTCCAAATGGCTTTAACTGAAGATAATCCTTTTTGTAAAAGTCATTGATGGGGAGGGCAACATGCCGTGATACATCTGAATAGTTACTTCTTTTGAGACTTGGTTTATTACATGGCGTTCCTTCCCATGTTTAGTGACACAGGCAAAGAAGCAAAATATTTATATGAATGATTATTTTGTTGCTAAAGACAGAACAGTCTGAATATTTTGATTGTTATTTTCTGTGTTTTCTGGTAAGAACTTTCAAAAGGTAGGAGATCTTTTGAAAGTGGCAACAGTGCTTTCAAAATAATTTAAGAACATCTATATTCTTTTCACGTTTACCCTACCTGATGTGGTTTTAGGATTAGGTGTATCTATAAAGCAAATAATCTAACTCATAAAGGAAACTCAAAAAGGAAATAATTGGACTGTCTCTAACACTTGATCTTTTTCATTTTTAAAGAGAACTTCGAACTTCGGAATTCTAATTATTAGTCATTTGCATAGCCTACGTATACTTGGATCTGATTCCAGAATTGCTGTTGCTACTGGATCAGCCAAACTGCTGTTTCCAGTTGTACCAGCTGTTATTTTGCTCCCACATCCTGATACAGATGTGCTGTTATTAAAGGCCTTGCTATTACAAGCCAAGGCAAGAAAATCTGCTGCTCTATATACTTGTGCTTGACAGGAAGCATAAGAAGATTATATAGATACAGTCCATGAAATAGAAGCACACTTTACCTGGGGTTTTAATAATAAAAACAGGCAATGTAGCACATGAAAGAAGAGCCTGGATGCCTGATGACTAACCACATTCAAGGTGGAAGCAGGACTCCTTATTGCACTTAGCATGAACTTGTTTTAAGACTACAGTGCAGTAATAATGTTAATTCTCAGGATATTTTTGAGTCCAGATGCAACACTTTGCATTTCCCTTTGTTGGACTATGTGAGATTTATTTGGGCCCATATCTTCAGCCCTCTGGGCTGTCGGCCACTACTCCCAATTTTGTTTCATCTGCAGACCTGCTTACAGTGCATTTGGTCCATCATCCGGGTCATTAATAAAGAGGTTCAACAGCATTGGCCCCAGTGCTGGTCACTATAGCGTCCTCCAGCACAGCCTTCTGAGCCCAGCAGTTCAGTCACTTTTTCATCCACTCCTCTCTCTGACTACTTGTCTGGCCCATATTTTACCTGCTTATCTATGAAGGTGTTACATACAGTGTCAAAAGCCATGCTCAATTCAAGGTAAACAATATCTCCTGCTTTCTCCCCTCATCCACCAAGCCAGCCTTCTTATCAGGTTGGTCAAACATGATTTCTCCTTCATAAAACCATGCTGACAATTCCTGGTTACCTTCTTGTGGTTCATGTGTCTGGGAACAGTAGCCAGGATTAGTTGCTTCACCATCTTCCCAGGGATCAAGGTGAGGCTGACTGACTTGGAGTTTTCCATATCTTCCTTCTTGGCTTTCTTGAAAATAGGCTTTGTTTTAGGCACCAAAATAACTACTTGATTTTTTTTTTCCAGACTGCCTGACTGTCCCCTTCTTATATTAACTTCTAATTCACTGAAAACTCAGTTACTTCTCTTAAGCAAAACCTACATAAAACCAGGAACCTGCTTTTGTTCACAAATCACATTGTTTCCTATGTGTTTTCCCTTCAAATTGTATGGTTTGAGCCTTACAAACTTGGAAGTACCTCAAAAGACTGAACATACAGCTTTCTGTTTTCTGAAATCAAGTGGAATACTTTTTTTATCTGATGTTGATCTAGTCTTGTTGCCATAGTTTTCAGCAGTCCTTTGCCATTGTTAATTTAAATTGGTTACCTAGCGAACATCCCTCTCAGGGCCTTCCTATTTCTCTGTTACTTGGATTCTGCTAGAAGCTATTATTTGGTTTAATAGGTCTATTTTCATCATTATTTTATAAATTTATTAGTGTGGAAGCCTTCTGCATGATTTTTGAATCTGTTGTATAGTGCACTTAGTTACATAGTCCGACTAATAATTAGATGCTCAGCAAAGAGGGGAATGTTATTTGCTTCAAGAAGTGGGTCAGCAATCACCTTCCTTCCTGGTATCTTTTCATAAAGGTTTTCTCTATTCTTTCCTGTCTGCCAAAATGCTGGCTCATGGTAACTGTGATTATTTTGTATTTAAAACAACCCGAGCCGTATTTTCTTCTTCTGTTCTGTCTAGATAGACCAGTGTTTGTTTATAATGCAGCTTATAATGGCAATCAATCCACCACATTTTGCTATGCTAATAGATGAGAATAACCAGCATTTTCAAATGTTTTGGAGTGACTGAGTGACAGTTACTTCCATCTGATTTTTGTATTCAATAAGAAACATATTTTTATAAAATTCATGAGGCATTGCTTTGTAAGCAGTTACAAGCTGCTCCCTAAGTGGTAATAGCAGCAATACTGAAGATTTGGTTTTATGAATATATGGATGTTTCGAAATGGGTAGAGTTGCCTATGGAAATAAAGAACAGAGCTGATGATATTATAAGAGTGAGTTCTGGGCTCTCCAGGACAAGAAGGACATTGAGCTTCTAGAGAGGGTCCCGCGGAGAGCCACAAAGATGATTAAGGGACTGGAGCATTTGTCGTATGAGGAAAGACTAAGCGAGCTGGGCCTGTTTAGTCTGGAGAAGAGAAGGCTGAGAGAAGATTTGATCAACATGTTCAAGTACCTGAGGGGTGAAGGTAGGGAGGACGGGACCAGGCTCTTCTCGGCGGTGTCCGGTGACAGGACACGGGGTAACGGGGGTAAGTGGAAACACAGGAAGTTCCACCTCAATGTGAGGAAGAACTTCTTTCCTGTGAGAGTGACAGAGCCCTGGAACAGGCTGCCCAAAGAGGTTGTGGAGTCTCCTTCTCTGGAGATCTTCCAAACCCACCTGGATGCCACCCTGTGCCATGTGCTCTAGGTGTCCCTGCTGGAGCAGGGGGTTGGACTAGATGATCTCTAGAGGTCTCTTCTATCTTCAACCATTCTGTGAATGTGTAATTGAAGTTATGGAAATTTATCCACTTCAGCTGTTTCAACATTTTCTTTTAACTACACAGGGTTTGAACACACATACAAAACAAACAAGCAGGCAGCAAACTCCAACAAATGTGAGATTTTTCCTTCTGTATTTTGAGGAAATTTGTTACGGATACAATTCAAGACAGAAATCTCTAAAACATTATTAATTTCTAATTTATAGAATTTCCTGAAGCATATCACACTCATTTATAGTCTGTCTGAATTTTTATGTGAAATATTTTTATGAATTATTTTTAAAGTTTAAATTAATTCAAAGAGTAGTAGATTAATGTCACAAATGCAGGCTTACAAATTCAGCACAGAATAAAACAGAAGAGTACTTTCTAAGTGAATGAGATCTGAGTAAAAATTAGTAGTAGGGAGAAAAAAAAGCCAAGTTAGGCTTCAGCAGTTAAATTTCCCATTCATCTTTCAGAAAATGAAGAAAATATAAATAGTAGAGGCGTGAAAACAATATATTGGAATAACTTGTTTATATTCAATAGTTGTTACTGAGATAAGTGAGTGAAAAATATCAGAATATTTTTCAGACTGCAGGTTGAAAGGCTTTGTCATGAAAGAAACTTTTTTACTTTGCATAAGTGCATCCGAAAATTCCAAGCTTAAAAAAAAAAAAAGGATGTTGGAAATAAATCAGAAGATGAAGCACATGATTACATCTGTGCATGATGAGCATACGAGCTAAATCTTAAAAATTACAAGAATAAGCATTACTAGGAAACTGCAGAGAGTGATAGGGAAGCTTTAAATCAGTGGCTAGTGCCGACTGCTTTCTCTGAATGCTGGGGAGGGAGCTGTGCCAGACCTGCTATAAGCAGGATGTGATGTCTGGGGGCACAGGGCAAGAAAGGGTGGAGGAAATTTTCGGTTGCTCTTCATGCCCCATAGAAACAATAGATTTGTCACCAGATAAGCAGTAGTTCTGGCTTTTCTTTGGAATCTCCTACCTGTCTCGAAGGTGATAAAAGCAGAAGGAAAATAAAGAAAATCTGGAACTTACCTAGTGAGACGTGCTATGAAATCAATACATATCTGGATTAAAATAGGATAAGGCTTTCTGTTCTCTAATATATCTTGCTGATTTTCTCCTTTATTTTTGTCCTACTTACTTTGTACCAAGCCAAAAATCTTCACGCTCTATATTTTACAAAGTACCCAGAACACATTCCTACAAGATTATATGTAATTTAGTTAATGCTGAACTTCAGTGGCAAATTTGGTAAGCTTTCAGCTACTAAATCATCTTCCCTTATCTAATGTTTCTTTCAAAAAGTGGCTTTCTTGGATTTTATAGATTCTTCTGAAGTTTTAGTCTAGGAGCCAAGGCTTAACATCTTCCCCAGTACTCAAGTTCTCTCTCATTTATGTCACCACTATACCTATATGTTTTAGGGTATAGGGAGGGTAAAATTCTTCTTCCTAGCGTGGACATGAGGAGCTTGTCTGCTCAGTGATTGTTTTCTAGAATATCTGTTGCAGAATACTAAATGAGAGACGCCAGGAGGAACATATAGAGGTCAACTGGTCAAAACCCCTGTCCAAAGTTTAAAACTAAACCAGACTGGTTCTCTCAACCTTTCCATATTAAGGGTGATCCAGACCCTTACTCATGTGGATGACCCTGCTCTGCATTGCTGAGGTTGTCAATTCCTGTGTGGTACTGGGGAGTCCCAAACTGGATACAGTGCTGGAGATTCAGGGCAGGAGCAGAGTACAGGGCAAGAATCACTTCCCTCAACCTGTAAGCTACAGTCTTGCCCACACAGCCCAGAACACGCTGGCCTTCAGCACACTTACTCAAATGGCCTGCTGGGGCCCCAGCTGTTTTTTTTCTGCAGGAAAAGGCTGTTTTCTCAGCCCGTACAGTTCCATATTCTTTTCCTATGAAGTTGTATGCTCTTCCATAGCTTTGGATGCTAGTCATAGAATCATAATGACTTGTTTATTAGAATAGTATAACGCCTTTTCCTCGCATGTTGATATTAACATTCTATAAGACATAGTCTTTTCACAAAGTTCTTCCCAGGTTATATAATAATTAATATTATAACATGAATATAAATATATTCATATACATATATGAATATATATATATATAAATTTAAATTCAGTGGTGCCTCCTTTATAAACACAGATACTGCGTGACCAAATAACCAGCCTGCGGTGGTGCCGGATGCCCCCTCAGGGGCTGGGGCTGCTGCCTGTGGGGCCCTGCTCCTTTGGAGTTTGCTTTTTTTAATATTGCCCTTTTTTTGTTAGTAGTGCAAAAATAAAATGTGTTCTACAGGAGTCTGTAGAATCCTAAATCAACCTGTAATGTAAAATAATGTTATATTGTTTAAGATTTGTCTGTCCATATCCTTCAAAAAGGATGTAAAAGTTTCAACGGCTGGTAACTAGAGATGAATCTTTTTCCTGATTGCGAGTGTGTTGGAATATAGCAGTTTTAAAACATAAAGTTTGGAAATTTAAAAGTAACTTTCATCTATTTTTTTACCTCTCTCATCTAGCCTGGTGGGACTTCAAAGACGTACCCTTTATGCATATAAAATATTTCCAAAAAGTGTGAGGGTCAAGATTAAAATATCAGAAGATGTCCTCTGTCTTTCTTTGTGGTTTACAGTTGCAAATTTGTAATAAGAAGAAACCATGTAAAGAAGGAAGCTTGGTTATAGGCTGATGGAAGTGGGATGAGGCTACATCTAGTTAGATGCAACTCATCCAGGGTGCTTAGGGAGGAAGACAGTCAGCAGCAGCACAGCAGACCAGTGCTTTGCTTGAGACTTGGGGAAATTTGTGACTGTAGGATGAGAAGATTTAAAATGATGGTCACATTCCAGGAGTCAGGCAAAAGAGGGCCTTTCTCAAAATATTGCTGTATCAAATGAGTCTCAGTTATGTAAGGAATGCAAATGAAGTGTCTTTTTTTGTGCAAGACAGAGAGCATCTTTTAATGGGATGGCATGTCACTGTGGTGATGTGTTGCGTGAAACTACTCCCACATATGTATTTTTCAGTTAGTGTTATTTAGTTTAGGAGACAAAGTTAACTGTAGTTGTAGAACTTTCTTTAAGCTATTCTAGACAAATCTATTACAATAACAGATCATATTAAAAAGTATTTTACATGAAGCTTTAAATTACTTAATATTAATTTAATATAAATTAAATAATTGATTCAGGAAGTACATTTGTTTAAGTGTGTAGCCAGAAGTGCCCTGCACGTATTTATGCAGAAAGTTCCTTTACTATTTGATGATACTCCTGACAAGTCCCTGTATTTCTGTGAAGAGTTTATAGTGCTTTCTTTTCAGTGACTTTGTAGAATCTCTGAAGACTGAAAATTTGACCTGTTTGGCAGTCGTTGTTTAAATTCCCTTTGGTAGATTCAATATTTAAAATGTAGGAATGCCACCTTTTATAGGCCAATTAGACATCTGCAATAGGTGCGACTATACAGACATGAGGTCCTAGTGTTGAATAGTGATTATATCTTCATAAATAATTGCAAAACTATATCTAGGAATACTCTGAATGTATTTAATAGTGAAATAAAAGATTTTAAAATATATTGTTTTATTTTTTAAGGATTAAAAAAGACGTATTTTTTCCAGTCAGTGAGTTTTACAGTTTTACTGTTTTTTCTTTTTTTTTTTTTTTTCTATTAAGCTTCATTTATAATAAAATGAGCATCTGTTTTTCCTGGACTTTGGGGGTTAGGAAAAAAAAAGAGATGATTTTAATTTTTAATCTATCTTTACTACCAGAGTATATTAGCACTTTTTTTTATTTTTGCACCCCGACAAGATTCATATTCATCTCAGTCATGCATCAAGTTAAGTTGAAACTGCCTGCATAGTTAGATTCACCTTATGCTTTTTATTCTTATTCTCTTATCTCTAAAGTACACAGGTGAAATTTTAGATGAGTATCTGGTTAATTGTTACTTTTCTGTTTTCGACATCAGGCCACAGACATCTGTGATCCGAACCCAATCATGATGCTTATTCTGTGTGTTTACTTGTACGAAAGGCTCCCTTACTACTTGCCCAAGAAGACTATTGAATTTACAGGTGCTTTCCATGCAACTGTTGTTAAAAAGGTACTGACACCATTGCAGCAGTAGAAGTTTTTTAAAAAATCTGTATGCATATATATGTTTATATTATGTATGTACTACAAAAAAGAGTGAATGGGCTCCATGCAGTTTCTCTCGTTAATGCGGAAATGAAGGAATGTCTCTTCATTTCTTTTCCTTAATATTTGTGATCCTGACTTCAGTTGCTTTTTCTTTTTTTTTTTTCTTTTTTTTTCCCCATATTCTCTTAATGAGTACAGAAAATACACAGAAGTAACAGTGGTTTCAGGGATCAAAGACGGGAATAAGAGATTAACAGTTGGGGTAGAAGTGCTGTGTATTCTGCATACAGATTGCTTAGAAAAATGGAGCTTGGACAGTCTGTGGGAATTTTATGCTTCTTACGGAGAAGAGAACCTCCTTAGTCATTTGAAGTACTTTCTTTTATGACATCCTTATTTTGTATTTTGGAAGATAGTTGGGGAACATACTTTATGATCTAAAGATTGAATAAAAATTGGCTAAGTTGTTATGTTTTGTTGTGATAGGTGCATCTGAAAAACCCAAGCATTAAAACTTTGATGTACGACGCTACTCTAGTAGGAAGAGAGGCTGATGATTTCTCATTACCTGACGGAAATACTGTCATCATTCCCCCTAAGTAAGTAATGATTTGTTCAGTGTTTTTCAAAGTCTACTAATACAGAAATATAAATCTACTGGTTCAACTGTTTTGGAATGCTGAAAGCACATTCAACCACAAAGACTGAAAAATGATCAATGCAAGGATCATGTATTTTCTCCTTAACCTGGCACAAATCCAAAGTAATTCATCAATGGCACACCTTCAATTTGACTTAATAATCTCCAGATTACTATAGAAGGGACCTGTATTCATAAACGTTTCTGTTCCTCTGTGATGGAAGTTCTAATTTTCAATTTGGATTTGCTATTCTTTTATTTTATTTCCTCAGCTAAAGCAGTTCTTTCTGAACTGAATTAATGTGCATGAGCAGATAAAAATTATTTCCTGTAAGACTTCAGCTTTTGTTTCTTCTTCTTATTTCGAAAGATGACTTTAGGAGTCATGGAAGTTTGGGAGGTCATGACAAAGATTTGGAAGTGTAGTAATAGTGTTGGTTTGGAAGTGATAGTAATGTGAATAATAAACCAGCATCTCTGTTTAACTGGCTCGTGCTTGCAAGCGCTAGTTTGCATTCAGTTATATGAGGTCAAGAAAAATTGATTTGTTGGAGAGCATGTTGTGGATTTTTTTAATATTTTTATTTTGAAAGAGTGAAAATCTTTAGGAAAAATTGCAAAGGAGATAAACTTGTAAGATTTCTACAAAGACACAGAAGTATTTTGAACATAACAACCTGTAGCCTGTTTAGGAAGAAAAGATGTAAAAATAGCTGGGAAGTGACACCTATGTTAAAATTTTTCTGATTTTATAAATAACTGATAATAAGGAAGACAAATCAGTGTGTTAAATTTCTACAGATTAGGAAATCTTAATTGCTGGATTAGAGAACAAGATGAACTACACCTTAAAAAAACCTTTTGGAATATTAAACTTCAAAAACCTTTATGAATATCTGTATTGGTTTAGTCACTCAAGGTCATATATCTTTGCCTTTGTTTCTCTGAACTGAGATTTTATCTTGCTAACTTACGAATATTGCACACAAATATAGGCATGTCTTCAGTAATAGTTCCTCTTGCACTCCAAGCTAGCTTGATACTAGCCAGCCTTGGACTGAAAAACATTTTGAACTTCAGAACAAGGGTATTTTGGAGATGGTGTAGACTTTTTTTTCTCCCCACCGTATTCAATTAGACTAGTGCCATGCAGTTAAAAAAAAAAAGGTATAAAATGAACCAACAGTACCTTTAGATAAACTACAAATGGGGAAAAAATCTATCTGAACTATCTGAATGACACATTCTTTACACGTAAGGGTTTTGCAAATCACAGCATTATTGAAAATAAGACAAGAAATGACCTCAGGCAACCATCTGCTTCAGATTAGTGTGGGTTATATGTAGTGGCCTGCGGTGTGCAACTTTTTCAGACTTACAGTATTTTCTTTAGGTCTTGAGCTGCAAATCTGGTAATTCCAAGCAACGTTTTATCCTTTTCTTTTTTTCTTCCTACCCAGCAGTAGTTGGGTTTATTGGATTAGAGACAAGGCTGGCTGACTGCGTATTGACAGATGGCGCAGGCCGATAATAAACCTAATAAACCTGCACAGTGCATAAAGAGAAGTGAATATAGATGGAAGTAGCTGTTGAAATCAGAGAGAGGCCAGTTTGAGGGTGGGTGCTTCAGGCAGCACGCTCCTCTGAGTCTGCAGTCCCAGGGCGCCTTGTCCGGCGCATTTTGAAGGGCAGCTCAGGAACCTCAGAGTTGGGGAATCTCAGCAGCTCTGCTCTGTTCAGGACTGAAATGTCTGGGAGCTCTGCAGCAGGGGCATAAAAGCTGTAAAAGATTTTCAGAATTTCCAGAAGGAGCAGATCTAGGAACTGAGATCTTGAGACTTTTGGTGCTAAGGAAGAACTCTTTTGAGTGTTGCGCTCATTTCTTTTTGGCATGAAGCCCAGAGAGATCAAGGTGAGTTCAGATTTTTAAACGTGTTCACAGAGTCCCCAAAGTCAAGCACCAGCTTTCTCTTATGAACCTGAGATAACTGGAAGCTGTGTAATTTGTGGATCTTATGTGAGCCTCCCAACAGAGCTGCAGTGAGCTCTGGCAGTGCTGGCCTTTGCTCAAGTTTAGACAGTGCTCTAGCCAGGGTTGGCTCATGCATTTTTGAATAAGACTTTTGTACTTTTCTATGTAGTTACTTAATTTCATTTACAATTCATACATTTCACAACATTACTACAATTTTGGTATGACAGATTTCCACAAAGGATTGGTTTAAATTTAATCTTACGTTGCACTACATATGCTTTTCTATCCACATCCCAACTGCAAAATAAAATGTCAGCTTAAATCCCTTCAATTTTAATGATCAGTCACTATTACTAGACTTTCCTAAGTGATGACTTTTATCCTGAGAAGCTAAAGTGACCCTCTGTTCTAGATAGCATTTGAAGAAGTTCACTAGTTTATTTAAAGCATAGTTTAATGCAGTGTTTTACATAGCCTGCACTTCAGAATGCATTTTGTAACTAAATTGTCCAAATTAGTTTTGCCAGCCTTTTAGAAGTCATTTCAATTTGTTAAACACAGCTCCCTGATAGCGATAAAACATCCAGGAATAAATTTATTCTGTATTTTACTTTAGAAGATGACATACATGAAGCAGGTTAACTGGTATTTTTAATATTCACTGCTTTTACATAAATACATTAAATCAAGTGATTGTGCTGCACTATGATTTGAGTACGTGTAGGTAGTGCATATGATTGTTATATATTTGTTATCAGTTTTTATATCTTTTTATGTTTATTTTAAGGAAACCTGGTTTCTTTTGGGTCATTGCAAATGTGTCAGTTTCACTGGATGTAAAAATTGTAGAATGACTTTAACATGGAATAAAGTATTGTGATGATGATTTGTAACCTACTGATTGCAGTACAAAAAACAATGGTTTTTAAGCTAATATTTAAAACGTGAACAGCCATTATATGTGATTTTAATAGATGGCTAAAATGTTGGCCGCAAAAGAAGTAATTTGCAAATCGGTACCTTTTCATAAAAAGTTAACTAAAAGCCTTCTTGAGTTGAGTGCACCCCAGAGGCAGGAGAGAAGTATTGTTAAACCCTCCCCTTCTTTGTTTTCATTGCCATTCACTTACTGAAGCAGGGAAACGGCAGCATGAAAATAGCCATGGAGGGTTAGACCAGTATTTTGTCTCCTGCTGTGGTTAGAGGAGACATTGTCATTAAGCAGGTAGTTCCCCAGGTGAGACTCATCATCTCTTGCATTTTGATGTGCTGAGCTCTGCGATCTCAGCAAATGTAGGAAACTTGAATATGTCTCTCTGTATTTCTATATACATTATATTTTTCAAAAGTTCTTTAACTACATATACATGAAAGCATAAGCCAGTCAGGTGACTTTTCAGTTTGTACTTTGAAATATTCTGTTAGCAACTCCAAAAAAGCAGGTCTCATACTTTTTAGAGAAAGCTCTTCGTGACACCTTTAACAATTATTTGTTGATATTATCATTTTTTACATAGGGGGCAAGCAAGTGTAAATGTGGAATTCACTAGTCGTTTTCTGCACCCTGCTGAAGCGATGTTGCTCCTGATTTCAAAGACTGTGGGTGGAATAGGTGGTGCTACGCTGACATTCTCTCTGAAATCTAAAATCACCCATATCGAGCCTGCCGTAAGTTTATGTTCGTGCAATTAATACTGCCACAAAATTACTGTTCAGCAGTATGATGTATCAAACACCAGAGAACTGGGCTAAGCTATAAAGATGGGTTATCATTAATGCCTTTCAACTGTTAATTTTCAAGTATTCAATTGACTATATATGTGCAAAGAAGTGCCTAGTGGAGTAGCTGGTAATAAAAATGGTAATAAATTTTAAAATTTTGCTCTAAAAATCGAACTGGAGTCCTTTTAGCATATGAATGCTTTTGAAAATATCATTGTTGTGGTGATGTGATGACATGCCTCTTCAGGTAGTTTCCAGTGTCAGATGGACAGTGAAGTTTTTTAGAAGTTACTTTATGTATTTGTAATTTAAGCAGTCTTTAGATTTAAGATATATCACAGAAATAGAGCAGGGACTGTTATGCTGTCCAGCGTTGGCTATCCAACATTTTCTGAGCGGACCTGGGTAAGTCCTCTCCTGAACTTGACGGGTGTTTGTGATTTTTTTGCTTTTGTGTTTTTTTAATACGATTGTAGCAGTAGACAATGATGTTAAAAAGGAAGGTTGGGATGGGAGAAAAGATATAGTTCGTGGAAAAATCAAACAGCAAGAAAATAGCTTGATTCTTGCCCTGCGTTGTCATTCTGAAGAATGTTTAAAAGGTGATGAAAGTAATACATGTTTAAAGAGAAATGAGCTTTAACTATTCTTCACTGGGAACAAAGCCTAACATTTTAATTATTTGAATTCTTTAGTCATCAGTAGCCAAATACATAGTTTTATGCTTAGGCATATTTTCCTGTTTGCCAGTGTTTAAGCATGAATATGGTTTGCAACTTTTGATATAATTGACATATTGTTTTCAATTTTCGTTCTATTTCAGGGTATCTTAAAATGCAAATCCCCATGTTATGAGCTGAAGAAAGTTACATTAAGTGTTACTAATCCCTTCAGAACTGATGGCATATTCAGGTAGACAATTCAGTAAAGGAAAGTCTATAACAAATATGCTGTTTTATATCTCTTTTTCATCGTTTTCGCCTTCTAATTCAAGAGTAAGACCTTGAGATTAAATTGTAGGGATTTACATTGTCAAAATTGTTAGAAGTACTGTGAAATGGAAAGTATCATAATGAATAGAGAAGACAAATAAACCTTAATTGAAATCCATCCCAGTGTAAACAATAAGTTAGAACCTTATACTAATGGAGTTCATGAACCTTGCTTGTATTTTTGTGTTTGGCTGAGGTGCAGCAGAATTCCAAAGAGAAATAAACCATGTTAATTAATAGCTTTTTTTTTCTCCCCCAATCTGCTTTATCCTGCTGTTTGAATTATTAAGCATCCAAAAGAATGATTTTCTTTTGCCTTGGGTCTGACATTACTATCAGGTAATCTAATGTAACTTATATAACACCGGATGTAACACCTCCAAAGTTATAAACATTGTTTTTCTAATCTGAAATGAAGAGAATGCTGCACCTCTTTATCATCTCATTTTATGTGATCTGGCTCCATATTTTGTCTTTACTTTTTAGAGCAGTCATACATTTATTTAGGAGAACATTTTCCGTAACATTTTGTGCGGCTTTTACTCTAATCAGTTCTATGATGTGGATATCTCTTTGAGAAAAAATATATTAAGGTGATTTGACAATTAATTCTCATACATACATTTTAATAGTTGCATGAGAGTTCCTGAAGAAATTATCAATTTGGGCCACATATGAACTGTAACCTACAAATGAAAGGTTTTTTGTAGTTCTGAGATATCAGTCTTCCAAATATGTAGCAAGTGTCAGGTATTTGCAAAAGCTGTACATACTGTATTCTAAACTACTTATTTCCTGGCATTCTTCGGTTTGTTATGTGCTACTTTTTCTTTCAACTAAGTAATGTTTTCTGTATTTACAATTCAAGGATTATAATATTTGTATATAGGTAAATATTTAAAAGATCACTGAATAATTGTACTTCATTAAGTAAAATAAGTTAAATACTTTCAGAATCCGCAGTTACATTTCTCTGTGCAGTACTGCAGCTATTTCTTACTCAGGAAAAGAAAAATATTTCTGTGTCCTAAGATATGAAAGTAACTGATGGTTAGTGAGTTTCTTTTTTTTAAATAGCAGATTAAATTGTGGGGCAGAGCATCAGTTAACACTGATATTAATTTATGTAGTTCCACTGAAGACCTTGAATTCAGGTCTTCAGGTAGTGAAATACTTGTTGGCATTGGCTTCTGTATTTTTGCTGTGTAGTCTGTTATCTTCCTTCTGTTTCTGCTCTATTCTGTGAGTGTGGGGAAAATGAAGTGATGTGGTTTGTTTAAGCTGAAGAAAATGTTTAAGCTGAAAAAAGGGCTATAACAGAAATTCTTCAAAGTTGCAGCAACTGTAGTTCTTGGGTAATGACTAGCTGTATGTCAATGGAATATCCATTGCATAAAATGGGTTTAAAGGCTACACAACGTAGTGTACACATAGCAAGATAAATGTCTCTTAAATGAACTGATTGATGGTGGTTTGTTAGGGAAATCACAACTTAATGTAGTTTAGTAGATTCACACTTTAATTAGAAAAGCAAAAGAACTTGCCTTTTTTTTTTCTTCAAATCTCTATGAATTGATTCTTTACTCATTTAGTTTAGTGACAATCTTAGTATAAATTACATTTCAGAAAATTGTTTCCAATTTAATAGTGTATGTGAATTGTCTTTGTCTTTAAATATACATTGTTTTTGTTTCTAAAATGTTGCTCTTGTAAAAAATATTTCAAGTTGCATGTCATGACATGACTGTAAACCTACTCAATGATTATGAATCAGTCTATGATATTAATGAGATTTAGGATAATAAATAATCCTTAAATAAATATCTCAGGAATTTCCGTGCTTACATAAGCTTTAAAAATTCTTTGTCTTAATTTCAGCAAAATGTTCTTAATTCTTAAACAAGAAAGTCTATATATTTAAGGAGAAAAATCTCTTTTTTTTTGGTGTTTTTTGAGCATCCCCAAATGGAAATAAACAAGCCTGAATTTGAAAGCTGTAATAAACTAGTTTTTATCTTCATTTTGCAAGTGAAAAACAAAGGGATTTGTCATATTTCAGAGTCTTTCTGCTGGAATCCACAAGTTACTTAAGTCGGCCAGAGCAAGTGTGTCAAGCCAGAGAAGTAAAGCAAGAGAAAATATTCAGGTAAGTTTTAAATGTTGGTTGCTAATTATCCAATTTGAATATTACAGTTATATACAGCTATATACAGTTATATTACAGAATATTACACTAGTAACTGTAACATCTTTGTGTATAGCTAGTGCGTAGTAGTTACAAAGAATTATAGATTAGATCATTTAAGTATAGTAGAATTATATTAAATATTTGTCATAAGCAGTAGAGAAAAGATAAATATTTCAATTTAAATCTTAAATGGATGAAAATATTCTGAGGATGGGTGGTGAGGGAGTGAGAGCAATTTGCCGCAAGGAAGATCTGGCGGAGAAATCAGTGTTTAGAGCCGAAATCTTGATGATAGGGTAGGAGCAATCATGGTGACTAAGGTGCCGGAAGGAAGGGCAGACAAGAACTGTCAGTAAGATCGACTACTTCCAGTTTATTAGGACCTTAAGAAGTAGAAGGAATAGCTCAGATTCTCAGGATAAAGAAGGTCAAGATTTCAGAAACTGCAAGAGTGAGATACAGGCAGGCTAGAGAACTTTGGAGTTTTGCTGGAGTCTAAAATGCTGTAGGCTCAGTAGGCCATGGGATAAAACAGAAATATTTGCAAAACAGAAAGAGAAATGCAGAATGTAAGTTTAATTACATGCCTGAGTGTTATTGTTTAGCTAGCCATAGACAGATTTTTGTGAAATAGGAAATATGGAAGCAGGAAGAGAGTTCAAAGTCAGCATGATGAAAGTCATAAAACGGCAAAGGATAAACAGCCAGGAGTCATTGTAATGGAAGTCAAGGAGAAGTAGAAAGAAAGATGCATGTGCAAAAAGACTCATAACCCAAGAGAAAAGTATTTCTGTGTTCACTGTCGTTAATTGGTGGGTGATGTAATAAATATCATGAAATTTGGATAACAGTCGGAAATCTTTGTGGGCAGTGGAGAGATGTATATCACAAAACGGAAAGTCAAAGTTAAAAGGGAAAGAAACAATTGCAAACCTGTTTGAGAACTAAAACTTGTGGCATTCCCTGGAAGTGACCTACCATAGAGGAAGAACAAATAGCTAAAGCATTTTTTTGAATTTCTCAGATGTTACGAATTGAATCGTTGTTTGTTTGGTTTTGATTTTTTTTATTTTGTTTTGTTGTTTTTTAGGTAAATACCTTCAGTGTCACCCTGTCCTCTTGTGTTCTGTGAGCCACACTGTGCCCTCAGTGCTCCGTGCACTTGTGCTGCAAGAGTCGAACCCTTAGTGATTAATGATTTTGAGTTTTGAAATGAGTGGCTAGTACAAAAAAATCAGATAACTCAGGCCTCTATCCAAGGAGAAGCAGCCATGTCCATCTCATATATTGCATATCATATATTGCATAATAGAAAGAAAAAAACAGCTTGATCATAATGATTGCATATTCTAGTAAGATGTCCAAATAGTCAGCCCCCTAAGCAAATGTCGGACTGCTTTGACTGGATATTACTTTGCATATTTTTTGTCAAAAAGACATTTGATTTTTTTCTGAATTTAAAAAAGAAAGTGTTCTGTCTTCTGTGCTCTCACTTCTGTTGGCGGAATAGATGATATTTAGAATGCAAGTACCATTAACATATGACTCTATTTTTGTATTTCCAATTTAAGCACGAGAAAGTGAACTAGAAAACTGCAAAACCCTTACTCAAAATTCTCTCATAACCAAGACCTCTTACACACACACACACACACACACACGCGCGCAAGCAAAAAAGTCAAAAAAAGGCCGCTCTTTCATTGATGTCTACAGATTTTACTAGTAAACTAATAGGACTAGGAAGTGGTAATGATCTGCTAATGATTCACTGGTAGTCCTATTCCAGAACCATGACTAAACAGTATAGTGCATTCATAAAGGCGTGGAAAAATCATTAGAGTGGCCCATGGCCACACAAGCTGTCTGGGAGAAAAAGCCATTAAAGTGTTCAAATATTTTTAAGTCAGGAAAAACTCACTCTGAAAAAAATAAGAAGTAATTAATGATTTTGAGGTCTAGTTTTACAGCTTATAGATTTTTTAATGTTAGTTTAATCTATTTTTTTGCAAGGAAAATCACCAAGAATTTCAAATATTTTATATTTCCTGAGGTGTTTTTTTTTTTTTTTTTTTACTTTGTGTTCCTGACCGTTTCATATTTCAAGGAAAGAGTTATGCTAAACAGAATGCTTGTATTTACTTATCTAATAGAATAAACAAAATTGAAGATTTAAAAGGCTATTTTATGTCTGTTTGCAGTATGAATTATGAAATATAGCATTAATAACCTTTTCTGCAGTCTTCAGAAAATATATTTTAGAAATAAACTGCTGGGAGGTATCACAATTATGATTAATATTTCATGTGTTAGAAATTTATCTCTATTACTGCAAGTCATAATGCCTCTTTGGGTAGCTTGTATCGCTTTATATCCTAGTCTTTGTTCTGAGATCACAAGCAATATTCCACAGCGTATGGAAACCAGCTAATATCTTATACATGATTTTTCTCTTCAAATGTTTCAGTATTTCTCTGTGCATTAGTAAACATTTCCTTGAATCCCTTATCTCTCTAGTAAGAGATCTGCTTGCTTCCATCTTCTAAAGTTTGTTGATGAAGTAACTACTAGTGGACATAGATCTCCCCATGGTGCCTGACACTTTCCAGCTTTATGTTTACCTCAAAATGATATATAGAATCTGGAACAGGAAGGGACTAAGAAAAGTCATCTAGTAAATTCCACTCAAATACAGAAAAAAACACTGTTTTCCTGATGCGAGGACATGTTGGAAAACATAATCTGAACTCTGAAAACAGAGATATTGGCCTGTTTGGATCCTAGACGAAAGAGTATTCTGGAGTGATGCACCATTACATGTGTGTAGCTATGACTATATCATCAGAAGATTTTGGTTTTGATTTTTTTTTGGTTTTTGACTTGATTTGTGGCATAGCAACTAACATGGCAAGCCAGCCGTTTTATGGTGTTACGTAAAAAGTAATAACAAAGAACTCAGAAGTGAGGATACTAAACTGTTTCTTTCCAGTGCCCAAGAACAGTAAGAACAAGTCTGAATAGGTTAAACAAAAGCACTGCTAGAAGAACTTGAAGGTACTTGCACCTGCCATTTACTCTGGGTCAGATGGGACTCAGTACCTAGCAGCTGAGAGGCATCCTCCTTAACCAGCCTTCACCTGTAACTTGAACAGAATCTTTAGTCCATTTAATGCACAGTAAAATAAATAACTTGAACAGAATCTTTAGTCCATTTAATGCACAGTAAAATAAATAAGTTTTGAATTCGGCTTTGTTTTGAAAGCATCAGCTTCTCCTCGCACATTCCCTCCCTTAAACAAAATCACTTCCAATAGTTGACTAAGAGACCTATTCCATGATTTCATGGTCTCTATTCCATTTCCATGGAA